TACATAAAGACGATAAATTTCTCAAAGCTTCATCTCTTCGAGATGACAGGATTACTTAACCGGCATTTTTTAGAATTTTTATTTGCGATCGACATTAATTTTATCACAATCTGATTTATTGATTTATTCATTATTTATTCACTACTTTGGTCTTTATTTTCGTTTTTTATACACCTTTGCCGGGTCATAAGGTAGAATGTAACTGGTACAAAATTATTATCCCATCCCAATAGAATCACGTCTAGACATTATAGATTAAAGCAATGAGATTAATTCGATACCTATTCTTTGTTTATCGGATTTCTTTGTCACGAGCGTGATCAGTCAGCCCAGAGTCGAGAGCAATGGTGAAGCGTTCGCGGAGGACGCGATGGACCGGGGGTAGACAGCGACGGGGGGTTAGACGGGGGGATCGATGGGCGAGTCGACGCCTAACCGAGGAGACCGCCTTTTCTCTCTCGCCGTTTCGTTCGTTTTGCCTTCCTTCTCCTTGTCTCCTCTGGCCTCCCTTTCCCTCCTCGTGGCGAGCTCCCTGCGAGAGGTAGTGCATCTACCTCCGCCTTCCCACCCTCGTTCTCCCACGCTGCACCTGTCGTGCGCACGAAAGCGTCGAGAGAGGTGGTAGAATAAAGCTTCAACTGGGCGAGTGCGTACTCGGTAAGGTCGAAGCCACGCTAAATCCATTTATCTCGCGTACGTCGGTGCTACGTATACGTTTATGAATAGGAAAAAGAAATAGAGAGAAAAGGAAGAAGCGGAAGAAGAGAAATAATACAGAGACATATCGAAAAAGCTGTTTACTTAAAAATTTAAAGAAAAGCTCTTTTCGAATGATTTTTTAAAATTGATCTTCAAATGTGTGAGCTAAAAATAAAGAAATCAAATGCCCAAAATGATCCAGAGGTTTCACGTGAAAAGATTGGATTAACAGTTAAGAACATGGGAATAAAAAGTTAAAAATGCAGTCGCTACAAGCCGCTCATTTGCAATGCTGATTATTATTCTCATCAGCTGTACGAGTAATTGAATTATTTAATATGACATAATTTAATTATTAAACAATGTAATTTCATTATTAAACAGTTGCAATGAATATGCATCACGTGCTTTTTTTACTCTTCACAGAAACCGTACACAATTTCAAAGCCCAGCCGTTTTTACGTCTTTGATTTCTGCATCATGATTCGAGTTTCAGGGCACTACTTGGAGTCCAATTGGGATTCGATTTCGTGCACCAGTTATTAGTCTCCAGTCGGGACCCAAAGTTAGCACGAGAATCGAAGGGTCCTAATCTAATCCACCTGGTCGATTAAGGACTGAGGATCCAAGCGAAGGAGGAGGAGAGCGAGCGGAGCGGCGATTCGGGTCTTGTCGTGCATCTTCTTGCTCTGGAGGGGCCCGCTGGCGTTTATGTATAATTAAACGTCTCGTTTGGGTGGGACTGAACACGAGACACTTCTAATTACCGTGGTCTGCTACGGTGTCGGTCTGTCGTTTCGCTTTTGCGAAGAGAATTTTGGCGTGACAATGGTAAAGTTATTAGCGAATGGTCTGAGCTGTCAGGCCTGCTACATGAAAGACCCTCCAAGTCGATCTGCAAATATGTAATCGTTTGTTTGTTAAGAGTTTGCAATAATTATTAAACATAATTAATCGTTTTCGCACACGATAAAAAATAATGTAATTGCATTTTCCATAGTTTTCCAGCGCTGTCCAATCTTTTAGCTTTCATATCATCACATAATTTCAGGTAATTCGTACGTTTTAGTAAATTTTAAAAACAAATTTATTTTATTAGTTTATAACATAAATATAATTTCTAACTCTACTTTTCCTTTGTATGTTATTTTAATTAAATAAATTATACTTTGTGTGCATGGAAACAAATATAAATTCTAACAATGGATGTAGGAATAAATTATTGTTATTGCTATAATGTTGACTAACATTAAAATATTGTTTTAAACAATATAAACGTAAGTACATATAATTAATACCTCACGTAATTGTAACAAATTTAAATGTTGACCTGACCATAAAGCTATTACGACCCGGATTTCATCATCATATCATGAATGTGATTCTCCTCGGCGTCGAGACCGAGAACAACCCTTCCATCGGGGAGATTCCCTTCTTCGTGAGGCTCGCGGATTAGTAGGCGTGCACGTGCACGCCCGTGAGATTCTCTGATAAACGATCCGGCATCGCTAGTAAAGGATCTTCTTTCCGCGAAAACGAGGTCGACCCACGTTGAAGCGCGTGGGCGTGGTAAAGTTTCTTCTTTTTCATTTTTACACATGTGGACGTATCTGTTCCTGTCGACGTCCCGAAAGCTCGATGAAGTGCTGCCCACTCTTTCGTCAAGGCGGAAACAGAGATATAAATCTGGATCGCTCACTCGAGCATCATACTTTTTTTTTCTTCAAAACCTTTTCGCGAACTACCTTCCTACTCTTCAATCACAAAACCATTAAATTTATATTTTCTATAAATAAATGACAAATACGCATCTACTAAACTGCATCTTACATTAGATCATTATCGATAATATAGCATTGCTGATTCAAGAATGATAGCGAAATGAAAAGGAAAAAGAATGCATGTACAGCGGGGATTAATTTTGATAGGTATTTATTTTCATAATGATGAGTGTGTTTTTTATAATCGATCTATAATATACATCGTAGCATTCGATTTATACATAATTACAATTGTAAATTACGCTCGCTCTTAATGCATAATAGTAGTAGGGTTTCGTCGTGTGTGTCGCGGGAGAAGAGGGAACTTCGCTCGTTTTCTCGGGAGGCGGAAATGCAAAACGTAGGATCGAAGGCTCGTAGAAAAACGCGCTCCGCGTCTCTTTTACGCGTACACGCGTACGTTCCCGAAGAACATTTCGTGCGCGCCGCGACATCGATGCGCACCGCCACAAATTATATTTATATATATATATATATATATTTATATTTATTTATATATGTATAGATACGAAAATAAAGTATATATGTACAACCAAATCGTTTCATGGGAGAGGTTTGCGCTCCCGTTCGATTCCGGAATTGATTCCGCATGATTTCCTTCGTCAATATGTAACAACGGGAGCGAACCTCCGGCGCCAATTGATTCGCCACGTAAAAACGACAACGCGATTTTACAAGTCCTAGAGGAGGAAGTTACTCGCGGCAGTGCCCGCTACTGGCCGCTCGGATACAGAGTGTATCGTAGAGATATTCAGATAAGAGATTGGCCATCGTGTAGACAACTTTTGATTGTGTGTATGATCCACCATATTCGGGATGGTGCTTATCTATACAATACAGATTTCCAAAGACGTCCCTACATCTCAAGAACGTACATTCTCAAGACGTTTCGCGAATAAAGTGTGTGAACAAGATAGAATGAGATAGAATAAGATAGAATGAGATGCATGGATATCTCATTACCTAATGCATAATTTATCTCATTCTGTCTTAAACATTGTCCTGAATATGACGAACAGTGGTCAATCTCTTACTTGAGAATCTCTAATATATGATCAATGTACATGTTCGTGTGTGTGTCTTCGAGTATGTACGTATGTGTATGTGCGTATGCGTTTTGTGTATGGGGTTTCTAGGGAACAATAAATAAAATCTATCTATTTTCTCATTTACCTAGCGCGAGACACGCCGTCGCTTTGATTTGCTGGTCGATCCACTCGTCTATCTATACCATAACGCCCGACCGTTTTCCCATCCCTTCAGCCTTCGAGCTCTCGAGGGTGATCCCTCTTCTTAAACTAAGATTGCATTTCCTTCTAGCTGCCGTCGTCGCGACGTGACACACGTCGCTCTCCTTCCCTTCCCTCGGCAAAGTGCACCGGCTCTCCCTATCTCACATTTACAAAACTAATCGCCGTTAACCGCGTCGCGTCGGGCGCGCGTTGGTAGAACTTAATCACGATATAGTTACGCATTTACACCGAAAGGTACTATGTCTGTTTATTATATACAGCGGTAGTAATTGGTTACTGGTTAAATAGTGGCGTTATTCGCTAACGTTACTTTATCACAACGATGATGAAATTAGCCCTTCGGGACCGGGGACATCGCATCTCAATCCATTCTCCTGATGCTTTTGTCCTTCGTCCTCGCTCCCTCCGACGACCCTCTCTTTCACCCCCTGATTATGTTAAGTTAACCCCGACGATCGGACAGACGAAACAATATATACGGCCGCATCATCGCGAATTCATCGTTCGCTATGCTCCGTCGTCGGTTTCTCGGCATCGCGCTCGTGGAAGAAATGATCGCACGCCGCGCGAAACGTGGAGATCTTCAAAGTCAGGCAGTTTAGTCGACCAGTCAAATCCTGAACTTTTACGCCAGCCAGTGCTTACAATGCGATTCTTCATATAACAGTACGAAAGAGATATATTATGGACATATCGCGCGCTGCATCGTGCGCTCGCTCTATAATGAAAAGCTTACTGCAACAGTGGGCTAACCCACATTTTGTAAAGACACAGAAAATAAACTCCAAAATTAAAGTGACGGGAAATAGTAAGCTAACACATTTTTACAAAACATGGATTAGCTCATTATTGAAGTAAGCCCTTCGATTTAAAAATCACGAGAATCAAAAGTCCAAAAAATCTTTTTCTCAAAATTCAAGTTCTTATATTGAGTAAACTTCATGAACGGAACTAATTTAATATTGTATTACTGCACAATTTGTGCTCTTTCAATGAAAATAAATAATTTCAGTACACTTTTTATCTTTTTCTAAAAGTAAAGAAAATAAAATTAATAGAAATGTAGAAATAAGGTCTTTGTATAGAATCATAAAATTTAAATATATTAAATAAATATATCGTGCATAAAAAATAAATAAATAATAAATTTTGTTTTTCCCTCAAAACATTATAATTGATAAAATATTTGAGAGACTTAATTTTATAATTTCAAACTACAAAGCTATTTAATTTATTTAATTTTGCTCAGAAAGCGAGAAAAAGTTTAAAAGTGTTTGTATCCGATATAATCCGCGTATCGCTACAAAAAATACATGTTTCAACTAAAATAAAAATTTTATGCAATACCTAATCATTTATTCTTTTTACAAAATTCGATTTATCATACGTCTTGTAAATTTCTCTTGATTGCTTCAAATTATCTTTGCTACAAGTTTAAAATTTGACATCACATTACCCGGAATTTTGCACAGTATTAGTTCGAATAATCGAGCGAAATAAACTGGCAACGATTCAGCGCGCGTCTTTTACCGTCGTTTCCGACAACGCACGAAATCGAGATTTCCAAATTGACTAGATTAGCCCAACAAACTCGCGTGTTGCGTTCTGACGTATAAATCTGAGAAATGGGAAGAACTGGCAGGCAGATATTACCGCATTGGAACTGGCTCGTTTACTCCATGGGCAGGCGTTGATCAACAAGACCGCTTCATGTCGGTCACGTTGATGGTCGATCATTCCGCACGCACTCCGCTCGATATTGCACGTTTTTACGCATGTTCGAATGGAACGTTTTAGAGCAACGAAACGTGCCCTGTTCGTGGGGAAGACCGCTTTCTAGGTCTGCCGATCCTAATTAGAAACGAGATCATCGGTGACCGATCGGCCGAATCGAGTCGCCGAGTTAGGATTTTGGCATCACAGTAAGGGATAATAATCGTGTCCGCGGCCGTAGAACGAGATCGGTCACGAGCCGCTGCTGGTGGACAAGATCGGCAGGTCGCGGTGGGCCTGGGGATCCCTCGAGTGCGCGTCTCGTACGGCCCGGGAGCCGAAGACGCGCTCGCAACCGGGTACAGTGCACCTAGCCTCCTCTTTGCGATCATCCGAGCCTGGCGAAGATACAGGCGAACCCGAAATAGACGCATGCCTGTTGCCTTGCTCCTGGGTCAGTCTCGTCAAGTGATTCAGATGCTGATGAGTGAGGCCGTTTAGACCAGCCAAGTGAGATGCAAACGAGGTTAGACCCGGGAACGTGGCGCCAAGATGCGGTGGCAGCAGGAGCGGATGTGGTGGTGGTATCCGAGCCGCTAGATCGACCGCGGACGGCAGTCCAGGTGCTAAGGGGTAGGCGCCCAATGCGCCGATACTAGCATCCGCATAGAGTCGTGCCAGGAACTCGTTGTGTAGCAGCGGATTCATTTGCGGGTCGTCAACACGCGGCGATAGGCTCGGTGGCAGGCTGGAGGAAAGCGGCGGGCTCGACGAGGTTGACAGCAATTTCCGGTGCAGATTGAGATTCGCCGAGTGGCGATCACGAGATCGTTTCGAGGGAAAGGCCGCATTACAACCATCCACGCTGCAGCGGTGCATCAGTTTGAGGTGGACGTTCTGATAGTGGGTCTTGACACCGAAATGATTCTGAAAGACCTTGCCGCAGGCAGTGCAACGGCGCGGATTCTCACGGTCGAGCGGCACTTCCTGGGTGCTGACGAAGCCGCCGTTCTCGTAACGTGCGTACGTGATCAGGCTATTGTCCGTATCCATGGCCACTGTGGAGGGTGAGGCGCTGGATGAACGAGAGCCACGTGAGGAGTTGTCCATGGTGATCTCCTGGTGGGTCGTGAGGCTGATAGGGCTGGTAGAGCCGCGGCCAGACCTCGAAGCCACCCGCTGCGTCTCGGCGTACGGCATCGCGCATCGACCCTGCGACAAGGACTCGAGTTGACGCAAAGTGTTGGTCGAGGAGTCGTGGGAGAGGTCGTCGGCTGTCGTTGGACGGCTGTCGACCGAGCTCGGGGCACGGGGGGGATCATCGGAACGCTCACCTTCTTGATTGCGCAGCGCGTCGTCCATCTCCTCCTCCTCATCCTCCTCCTCCTCGACCTCCTCCATGGGCTCATCATCGTCGTCCTCCTCGTCCTCCTGGTGCTCCTCGTTGTTCGTCGGCCTTCCTTCCTCCTGCGTCACCTCGGCGGGTTCTTTTTTCGCGATCGTCTCCTCTTTCACCCTTGACGTTTCGTCGCTTTCCGTGCTCAATCGTCGATCTTTCTGTTCCGACAATATCGCGTCGGGATCCTTTGTTGTTGTCGTCGTCGTCGTTGTCGTCGCCCCGCTCGATGTCGTGCTCGACGGCGGCGCGTTGTCGGTCTTTGGTTCTGGAGTGATCTGTCGTTTCGGCGACTTGACCGAGCTCGCCCTTGAGCTCAAGTCACGCGGCTCGTCTTGAGGTAGATCCTCCGCGTTGTCTTGAGAGGAAAAAGTATCGCGTCGATTAGTCGCTATCTCGCGCTCTCTATTGCCGGTGTCCGGAGAGCGCGAGTCTGATTCACGATCGTGAAAGCTTTTTTGGTTCCTCGGCGAGCTGGGGAGTATCTTTCGCTCCTCCGCCTCAAGCCTAGACATCGACATGTCTTCTGGCTGATTCTGAAATTCTGCTATTGGTGCAATGCCGTCCGACAGACACCGCCGTTGAATTCGCTGCTCTTCGTCATTGGAGGAGTCGCCATCGGTAGACGAGGAATGCACTTCCGCCGGCACAGCACATCTCGTGGGATGCTGGGATTTTCTTTTGCGCACGCCTCGGCTGTGGAAGGAACTCGAGTTGAGCGAATGCTGATTCACGGAGAAAGGTTGCTGGTCAACTGTGCCCATCGAATCGTTATCCTCGTTGCTGTCGGGATTGCTGGCAAGGTCTTCGTCGGCGGTGTCGCCAAAGTAGAGCTTCGGCCGCTTCGCCAGACTAAAATCAGCCGGCTGCTCGTCATCTTCGGCACGTAACGGTTGTAACCTCGATGGCAGATTACTGGTTTCGTCCTCCGCGACTACGACGATACCACCATCGTCATCGTCATCATCCTCCTCGCCTTCTGGTATCATGGATGATGCTTGGGTAGACGGCGAGACTGCGCTAATAGATGCGCCACCACCAGAATACGAACCTCGCGCCGTCGTCGTAGTCGTGGTCGCCCCGACGCTCGACATCGGCACTGGCATCGTCGTCGAGGCCGTGGTCGTTGACAGACACGTGCTCGCCATTCTTTGCTGCAGCGCCTCATCGTACGGTCTGCCCTGACCTGCTTGCGTGGATGACAGATCCAAATGCTTGAAGTCCAGCGCGCACAGCGACGCCGGCGAACGGAGATCTGGCGGTGGCGTGAGCAATGGAAACGAGCCGAAAGGTAGATGATTCAGTCCAGTAGCGGGAACCGGGAGTCCAACCTGCGGTGGTAATACTAGGGCATGCGCCATGGACGAGCGGCCGTCGTGTGGAGAGATTTTGCGGCGCAAGTGCGGTGAGTGTAGTTTCGGATTTGGATTCGCACTGTGTCGGTTGCGCGATCTACGCGAACTGAACATCATGCTGCAACCCTTGACGGTGCACTGATGCATCTCGCGTAGGTGCACCGCGCTGAAATGGATCTTCAGGGCGCCCTTGTCGCAGAAGGTCTTCAAGCAGACGTTGCACTGTACGCGCTTCTTGCCGGTGGTGGGATTAATGAAAGGTGTACCAAGGTTCGGCGGCATGTTTGCGGCGGCGCCCCATTGGCTGCCCGGTCGCTTACCCGGAGAGTGCGGCTTCCTGCCGGGTATGCCGGGTGGCCTGCCCAACGGCGTGGCCTGAAGCGATAACGGCGGTGGATGCCGTTGCTCGGAGGAAATTATGTGCTTTGCCATAGCGGAATCCCGTCTGCTAAGATTCAATGCGCTGTCGGAGTTTTCCTCATCATCTTCGTCCTCCTCCGAGCCGAACTCACTGCTCTTCTCACCACCGCTGTGCACGTCCGCGGGCATGGTGAGTCCACCGATGCAACCGGGTGATTTACCCATCGGTGGTGGCGGAAAGTGCGTTGGGAAGCTCGGTGGTAGCGCTCCGGAGGAGACGGCGACCGAGAGTGGATGACCGAAGGTTAACGCCGAGGAAGAGATCGGTGCGACCGGCATATGCGGCCTTTGCAGCTGCGACGTCGCGGATAAGTGATGAGGTGGACTGTGGGGACTCTGCGGATTCCTCATGGACTTTCGATTTTGCAGGAGCTGCTCCGCGGATGGTGGCGGCGGCGGCAACGGCGGGAATGCCGGCAATCCGAGAGTACCCAGTTTTCGAAAGTCGAACGGCTGCATGCTCTGCAGCCGATTCAACGGCGACACCGTTAGGTGCGAGTCTAAGGAACGCGGAGGCGAGTTCGCTCTGCTAACGCCGCCGGTAGGATTCGACGAGGAGTAGTGCTTTTGTGCCGTTGGCGACATCGAGGGATGCGAGATCGAAGACGACGACGGCGGTGGTGGCGGGGGCGGTGGCAGCGGAGGCGGAAGCCGGGAACCCGGTGGCGGTAGGCCACAGTGAAGCATATGCAACGGGGGTGGTAGGTGTGCTAGTGGCATCGTCGGTGGCGAAGGTCGTCTGCTTGGTGACATAGCATCCGTACCCGGCGTTCCGGCGGCCAGCAGCAACTGCTGCACGAACGGACGCGTCTCGGCGAACCTGAGGAACTGCTGCAGGACCAGCGGTTCCTCCTCAGCCGAGCAGATACTCCATCGGTCCAGCACCGGGCCGTTCTGCGAGTCCTGCGAACAGAAGAAGAAAAGAAATTGTCTTTTGGAAGTCAAAGGAACCGTTTACGCGATAAAATATAAATCACGAATACGCAATGACTTATTTATTTAGAATCCTATGTTCATAAACAATTATATACTGATTTCTATAAATATCGTTATTACAATTTTTAAAACAAATTAAAAAAAAAGTAAGAAGCGCTAAATGCGGCCGAGGCTGAATCTTGGTGCCTGTAATAATGTCTATGTAAGTTTAAACACAGCTTTTAATTAAATAAACCGCATGCCCCGATTGCTTTCGGACTTGAAACATAATCATACAAACTGCAGCTGAAATAATAATATTGCAAATTAAATTGATTCTTAAATTAATGCGCTATTACGCATTTTAAAACAGTGCAAAAAAATTTATTGCGATAAAAGAAATTTTTAGCTTCTGAACAAAATTTAATATAATAGTCGATAGTATGATAAAACAAAGGACAAAGAATTTTTCCGAGGCGG